TGTGTGTGTGTGTGTGTGTGTGTGTGTGTGTGTGTGTGTGTGTGTGTTTTAAGCTATCCACCTGTGCCACCCGTTGGCACAACAAACCTCCGTAAATGTCAACTACCTAAATTTAAATGCCGTTAAGCTAGAAACACCAAACATTGTTGATTAGAAGGGAAATGAAAAACTAATTGGAGAATGTATCATCTGTGAAAGGCTTTCCTAGACTAGACAGCACTGTTGAGCAGCTCAGATCTAGATGTTTGTCTTTTCATAGCGTTGATGTCAGATAGAAATGTACTGCTTGAATCAGCTGCCTTAACAAACTCACCACTCGCATTGTTTTTGTTCCACAACAGACATTTGGTTGGCCCATTAACAAAACTATAGAAATAAGCCAAACAGCAGCAAAACGCTATTGCAGGGAATACAGCTGAGGTTCAACTTAAAGCATGGCTCTGTGGGTTACAAATCTCCTTCAATTTCAAGTGTGTTATGTTTATTGTTCATAGAGAGTGGACTTGATGACAGGTGGTACTGTTCTGTGGATCCCGCACTAAGTGTGCTTTTACTTGTCTGGCCACATTTTGCTGAGGCTGGCTTCCAAAATGTCTGCTGGGGAGACCTGGGTCAGGCGCATTTGTGACAACAATTTCAATATATTTATTTTCACCTGCCAGAAAATTGTGACTTGACTGGATAAGGCCACCTGGGGAGACGCTCTGTCTGGCTTTCATCCTTTGTTATTCTCACACTCAGTTGCTCACAGTGTATATATTTGTGAGCCACAGATAAACACGTATTTCTTTGCTATTTAGCAGTGTTAAGCGTCAGGTGCAATGTAAAGATTCTGTTGTGTCCGTGGGGCAACTTGTATAATACTTTATTTGCAATTATTTTGCTACAATATCAATCAGTTCTATCGCTGAAGCTAAGAGAAAGTAGCCGGAGACAGAAGCTCCGTTCCCCCAGAGCATCGGAGCAGCCTGTCTCAGCCGGCAGAAAGATTTGGACCTCAGTGTGACTGCCGCTACATTACTTCACAGTGGGAGATGAAACGCTCCGTGATGAGAGGCGCACTCCCTTTGAAAGACTAACACGAGTACACATCTGGCAAACCGTGGGAGGCTGAAGGTCCACAGCCGAAGGGGCTTGGATTAGCAAATCGTGGAACCACATACCGATGTAGATTTTTAATATAATGCTGACGTTGGGGGGGGGGAAAAAAAAAAAAAAAAAAAGTCTGGTTGAAGTTCTAATGTTCCAACTTGGTTCAAATTAAGACGCACTGTTTGTTACATAAAACTCATAAAACAACTGGTATACTGTAAGCTGTGGATGCACATTTGATCTTTTTGTTAATTTGCGTTAATCAGTCATAAAATCTTTAATTGTGAAGGTGAATTCTATTATAGTGTCGTATAGAAATGCAACTAACAACATTTGTCGAGGTGAGGGTAAAGTAATTTATTTTGCCTTTAATCAGTTATCACAGTATGTTGAGTATACTGAATGTAGCCAAATGGATAAAGTCTGCTAATAATAATGAAAATATTACAGCAAAAATAGAAAGATGTGTACTGTTCAACTGTTTCATACTTTCCCCACTGATAGAAATGAGGAGTGAAACAGGAGAATTTGAATGCTGCGCATACATTTCATCCAGCACACAAAATACTGGATGACCAGATATTATTCCACAGAGAGAGTCTTCTAACAATCAATCGGGACTGAGTGTATGTAGTGTGCTGTATAGTAAAGTGTGATGGAGAGGAAATAGACAGGTTGTATTCTGGCTTTCAGCTTCAATGTGCTTTAAGAGACCAATGTAATTAAATCTATCCACTGTGTTTGATGTAATCTGCTTTCAAAATGATTTGAGTTTTTAACTGTGTTCCCAGCGGCGCTGTCTCTGGCCGTTCTACGTCAGTAAAGAGCAACGTGACACAGTAGAGATCAGGATGACCGTCGCCCATCGTTATCTGATATTATAGCCACATGCTTACGTCCAGTACATGTGAAACAAATGGGCCTGTGCGTTTCCACTTTGTTAGAAATTCTTCCCAAAGGAACATTACGTCATCTCTTACTCACCCCAGTGCAATCTGAAATGTCATTAAAATGTGCATGACCCATAGAAATATAATGAGGGCAGAACAGACGTTTCCCTCACCAACAGAGCAGGAAGGTCAGAGACTCGTATGTGTAGCGTTGCCACCCAAAGAGCTGTGAGCTCACACTGTTTCTATGCTCCATGCATAGTGACGAGCGACAGTTTTTTTTGATGACCACAGCAAACGGTTAAACGTCTGTCCTCCTCTCGTTCTATTTTTATGGTATGACCATCATATGGACATTGATCTAGATCGTGCAGTTGCACCTGAGCCTTTCATCAAACTATTGAATGGTGCTTTAAAAGAGCGATAAAATGTACATAAAAATTCCCTCAACAGATTTTGCACCTTAAGGCGTGAATATAGCAATGAAACATAGGAACAAAAAGCCACTACTTCTGATACCTTGTTATTGAAAGTGGGAACAGTTGCTCACGCCTTGCAGCGTACTTGCTGCGAGACATGCATCTGACATATTGTAAGAACAAGGTATGCTCTCCCGCAGGTAGTGCAGCATGGGGACAGGGTGCTCTCTCTGTCAAGATGAGCCAGAGCATTTGAATGTCGGGGAACACCCATTACGCCAAAGCACATAAAGTGCAGTTCTTGAAGCCCTCCACTCTGCTTTTTTTTTCTTTTTCTTTTTTTTCGGGTTTCCCTAATTTGGCATTGACTCTTTTTTTTTTTTTTGCGTCTGGTTGTTCTCACAGGGCCTGGGGGCAGAGTGTAAGAACCTGTACCCGTTCCTTCTTCCTGTCATCCAGCTAAGCACCGATGTTTCCCAGCCGCCGCATGTGTATTTGCTGGAGGATGGACTGGAGCTCTGGTAAGGACTTGCACGTTGCATATGCTCTACACATTTATAAATTATAGAACGGAACTCACCGATGCAGACTTTTTTACGAGGAACTTGGTGATGTCATTAACTCCCTCGCATGTCAGACCACACTCGCGCACACACGACATCCATACTATGACTATAGCTGTCTTTCTCTCTCTGTGTCTCTCTGTCTCTGTCAACCTCTCCAGGTGCACGATGAAGCGGTTGATAATTCATGCGCCTCTCGATGCCTTTATGTTATTGTTTTGGTCAACATTAAGATATCTCAAGAAGCTGCTGCTTACGCTCACTTTTGCAAATGCGTTACAACCGCAAAAGGTTTGGTTCAGCAGAGGAGAATTTGCCGGGTTGCCCATCATCCCTGCTTAATGTGTTTTTTCTCCATCTGTGGCGTGCTGCAGTGTTCAGCATGCTGTGTGCACTTGTAGTACAAAGCCACAGTCTTATGTCTCTGTCCCGCCTTTTATTCTGCCTGATTAACAATCATGCCCTATTCCTTTGCTGTGTTCACAAAGTCAATGTCCTTTTCCTTTATCTTTTATCAGCTGATTTCTCTCTCTCTCTCTCTCTCTCTCTCTCTCTCTCTCTCTCTCTCTCTGTGGCCCTCTCAGTATCTGATATCGGATCTTGTGTTTTTTCCCCTATTAGTCTGTGAAGCATGCATTCAATCAGTCATGCATGGCTCTGCTTTTTGAGTAGTTGTAGGTGAAATCCATCAACCTTTATTTTGGGTTTTTGATCATTGAGTGTTTCCTATATGTATTACGTATAACATCTCAGTAAGGTTGTTCAGTTTAGAGACACACACGTACACTTAGTAGCAGTGAGCACGTCAGTAGATCCTATTGAATAAATTACTTTGACAATCTGCTGCTGTAGAGAACTGATTAGTTATCTTGTTCATAAAATGTTTTCTTTTTTTTTTTAAACCCAACCCATTATAAGTTACAAGAGCCCATATGATTATATAAAATGGGACTTTTTCTTTTTGTTTGAGAACTGAATGTGTGAAACTGTCGACTTTGTGTCAGTATGCTCTCTGATTAATTAACCAATCATCCCATTTGTTTCTTTTATCAGATTTTGCATTACACTGAGCCAAAGCACTAACATTGCCTTCCTCTGCCTCCTTCTTTTCCCTTTTACACCCACTTCACCACGTATTATCTCTCTCCGCCTCTGTGATGCCCATGTTCTCTTCTTCTTTCTGCCTCTGTAATTTGTCCTGTTGTACCTCTCTGCCCATTTTCTGTTGCCGCCTCTAATCTATATCTTCTGTTCTGCTTTCTCCCAACTTTCCCCACTTTCTGTTTTATTCTCTCCTTTGCCCTCTCTCTGTCTCTCACTTCTAATTCTTTATTTTTTTTTACTTTAACTTCCACCTGCTCTTCTCTCTTCCCTCCCTCTCGTCATGCAGGTTGGTGACTTTGGAGAACAGCCCCGCCATCACCCCGGAGCTGCTCAGAATTTACCAGAACATGTCAGCTTTGCTGGGTGAGCTCACATGAGATTTCTTGCTGTGTGCGCATGTGTATGTGTGTTTCTACTTGAGTGTGTGATGTGCATGCAAATGAGTTTGGATTTTTTTTTTCACACACTTTATGGAGTTTTACATTAACATATAAATTGAATTAGTGGTCGGAACGAGGAGAGGTATCACAATAGCACGGTAGAATTGTGCTTCTATGATGCATTTTGCATTTGCAGTTTGATGAGCATACGGTCAAATTCTGGCTTCCTGTAACGGGATATGCGTTTGATTCTGTGTGTGGTTCAGAAGAGAGACACAGAAAACATTTCACCACAAAACAGCGAGAGGGGGAAGAAGCTGGGCAATCTGAAAGAACTTACCTGCGTTATGTGATCAAATACTTTTAAATCACGGAGAGGCCGAGAGAACGAGGACAGAAAAGTTGATGCAGTCCACGGACATGGACTTAACTCTCATCATTTTATCACTTCTGGGTAGTGTAGCATTCAAAGATCACAGTTGTGGCATTGCGGTACCCTCAAGGCAGCAGTGCCACAGCTCTGGGTCTGAAGGCAGCTGTGAGTGGTGGCATATTGAATGGAACTGGCTGGATGATTTATCGCAGGCCGGGAGCATTGGGACACCTCACTTACTGTAGCGTGCGTGCGTGCGTGCGTGCGTGCGTGCGTGCGTGCGTGCGTGCGTGCGTGCGTGCGAGATGAGGAACAGTATTGATTTGGGGCTCCTGCACATAACGAGAGAGTCGGACTAATATGAACACTAGTGTAGCCCGGCTTACTGGAGCATTTCATGTCGTGTGGATCGGGAATCCATGAGACACAGAAGAGCAAAGGGACTCAGAAAGGCCGTTCCAGATGAACGAATCGAGGACAGGAGATTTGTGAAATGTAACAAGCAGGTGGTGGATGAAAAGTCATGATGCAGGAAGTGAGGGCAGGAAAATTAATGACAAAGTGACTTTCTGTAGTAAAGGTTACACACGGTGGAGGGCTCTGAGGAGCTTCAGACATGGATGGATAGAAAGATGAGAGAGGCCCTTTTACTTCCATCTGGTGCTGAACAGAAAAGGTAAACAAAGGCTACGAAAAGTAAAGGAGACAGTTTTTTTTAATTTATTTTTTTAACAAAGCAGCACAACTAATAAGGTTTACTTTGAGACCATTCACAGGCAATTACACACAGACGAGCCTTTAGTGCCCTTCTTTGCTCCTCTTCCAATGAAGAAATACTCCCCAGTTCAGATCTAACCGATGCCTTCGCAGCATCTACGCTAATCTCCTCCGGAGCAGCCATTGTTTTTGAACAAACAGTCGCTTCTCTGTGTCGTCTCCGTCATCTCGCACACACCCATCAGTCTGTAGCCACCAGCAGCTCCTCGCATGACGCCGACTGGTCCGTGCTCTGAATTACCGAACACAAACGCATCACTGTATCTTAGTGGGTAGAACTTGTCGTCACTGAAATGACCGAAGCTGGTCCACATTAAAGGTCAGTCCACTTTAGGTGGGCCTGGGTCGAAGTTGTTGCTAACTTTGGGGCTAACCCGCTTCGCTGTATTCAGCGGGTCGCAAGGAAGGCACAAGAACATGGCTTGGGTCTGGAGGAGTTTATTCAGCTTTAACTAGCCTAAACTATACCCAGACTGCACTGCTTTGTTCACAGCACGTGGCAACCGCTCGTTCAGGAAAGTGAAGCCAATGCAGAAGTGCTTTAAACATTGCATTCTTCCTAATGCCAGCAGGGCGCGACTCGTCTGGTTGCATAAAGAAGGCAGATTGTATAGAAGTCTCTGAGAAAACGACCCTACTTGATTTGTTACCTTTATTATACACGTTATAAGCATGAGTACCTCAATATAAACACAGCCTGACGTGTTAGGACCTTGTGCCAATGTCCACCGTGGTCTAGATTACCTGATGGAAATAGTGACCCGATTTTGCCTACTATTATCATCACCACCCGTGTTTACTATGGAGACGGGCAATTCTCTCCTTTTTTCAACATTTGGTTCAGTGGAAATGCTTTTCTCCAGCTGTGACGGACGCATTAAAGCAAAGCAAAGGAAAAAGCTTTCACATCTCTCCAGGTACAAGCTAACAGCATTTCATTAGTAAAGTAAAAAAAAAAACACAAAATGACAGTCAAAAGTATTTTGTCCCTTTTCCCAGCATTTTGCTTTTTTTTTTAATGAGTCCGATTTGTACATTCATGACGGAAACATGAACTCCATTTAAGCAGTTTTCACCGCAGTATCTTCCAGTTTTAAATGTTGTCCTGGGTCTACAAACGGTTTAGATCCTTATGAGACATTAAGATCCTTAATGTATTTTAATCCGTCCACATTTTTGTGGTCTGAACTGACATGTTTGTCATCTCCATTTTCCCCTCTTTAGTAACCCCTGTAACAAGTGGACTTGAATGAACCCAAATCCTGGTTCTCATCCCAAAATAAACTCTGAAGGAGTGTGGTGACATGCTGTTCTTCCACTTTATTAATAGCTCCTTTATCGTCTTCTTATCCGTTATTACTGTTATTTTCCCTGAACAGTTGATGTTTTCACCTATGTAGCGTTGCAGCTGCACTTCGGCCTCTCTTGACCAGTCGTTCGCTCTCCCTGTGTCTCCGTCTCTTCTGTTAAATGTGAAAACGTAACATTAGCGTGTTTAAAGCGCGTTAATCACACTGAATGTAAATACGGTTGTCAATGGAAGTATTAAATAGATCAATTCAAAGCTTCTGTGATGAAAGGTACAGTCACAGGTCAGAACAGTTTCAAAATCCGTGTCATTTTAACACTGAACACGAAAAAGAGTGGAGGATCATTTTACATTCAACAATCATGCATTCATTTACATATACTGATGAAAAATCTCACACAGGAAATTTTGGCTTTTTCGTAAAACTGGCCGGTCATCATTTTTGGCTGCTTTTCAGCGGGACATTCGGCGGTTCATTTATTTGGTCCGTGGAGGGATGGGGGGGCCATTGAGAGAGTCTGGCTCGGCTTGGTCTCGCAGCTTGCCAGGTGTGTGGCCTGGCCCACCCGATAAAGAGCCCCGCTCCGTCACTGCTAAAATGGAGCAGCAAATTCCCTAATTAGAATGTCAAGAGTCTTGCCTTTGCTAAATTGTTCGACTAGCACCGCGTCCTGTATCTCTGCCACCACGCTCTGAACCAGGACATATTTCAGCTGTGCCTGCTGCACCGACTACTGACAATGGATGGTAAGCAAGGTCGTTTTTTTTTTTTCCCCCCCCCATGTTGGCATTACACTGATTAGCGCGAGCGCCGAGCAAGTGAGGGAGCTGGAGTATTCATTCATGTCCCTGCCTTTTAATAACGCTTGTTAAGAAACTCAACACGACTTGCTGTTTCACGGTGAAAGCTGTCCTGGGAAAGGACGGCGTAATGGCTCCTGAGCTGCTAGAGACAGACTGAGGAAATGTTGAGTTTCCTTTTTAAAAGCGAAGCGCAGCAACAAACATGAGGGCTTCTTAGCGAAAGTATTCTTCTAAAACATCGGGTGGTCAAGAATAAAGGTCTGTCTCTATTAATAGCATTCAGTCTTCTTTATCACGAGATTAATGGTTTAGTCTATGCAAATGTAGAAAATGGTGAAAAATAGCGTTCACAATTCACAGAAATCAACTATGATGCCTACAAACAGCTTATTTTGTCCGACCAACGATGATAACCAACTTTACAATGAAGTTAAAAAAAAAACTGAAAAAAATTAAACCTAATTTTCAATCAATCGTGTCCGTACTTTCTACAGTTTAAGGTAGAAATTTGAATAAATGAGACAACTTCAGCCTGACCTTGCTGAAGTGGCTTTAAAGTAATACAGCAAAACATTGCTTCATGATCATCCCATCAGTTAGCAATTACTGGTGTCAGGCCATCCCCACGAAGATCAATGCTACTGTATTGAGCGCTTTCAGCCTCATTTTCTGCCTGTGAAAGAATGAGTCTTGCAGTTAACTGGCCAGCCGAAGTGCTCCATGGATCAACCTGGACACCCCCGTCAGAGCGCCGCCTTTTCATTACAGGCCTCTCAACTGGAAGTAATGACTGATTACAGCTCTCGCAGACGGTGAATATGTTTGGCGACACTTACTGCCGGGACGGAAGAAATTTGAATAACAATTGTTACGGTTGATTATGTATATGTAGCAGTTTATTTAGTGTAATTCTGTGCATTCATCCTTTCTTAAAGTTTGATATTATGCTCTGTTCATCTTCTTTGTGTGTTTCAGTGCTGTGAGGATTCTGCTTCCTCATCACTGCTGCCATCTCATACATGGGCGTCTCCATATAAAGTCGACTTTTGCCACTTCATTGAATCCCTCGCCGAGCTTTTATCGCTCCTCTCATGCATGATCACTCGTCTGTGACTTTGCAAAGACTCAGTCACTCGAGCACCAATGGGAGCTGGCGTCTCATTGGCCATGTTGTTGTTTTTGGGAGTGAGTCCTTTGTGTACAGTAAAGCAGTGGTGTCTGGTGAGCTGCTGGAGTAATTGTTTTACCCCTGGGAGTCTGTAAGGAGTTATGCTCGAATGCGGTAGCTATGCAGAAACTTATTATCAGCAGCACTCTATTACAAAACATGTTTGACTTCCCTCCAGAGGTCCTCGTTAAGTTTTCAATGAAAAAGAAATGAGCAATAAAAAGGAGAATAGTCCGTTTCCCTTTTAGATTCATGCATTTAAACCTCCAACATCGGGCTTTACTCGGCTCAAACCCTTTACATCTGGCCTGCCTGAATGTTCCCGATGAACACATCCGAGTGTCCTTGTAGTGCATCGGTAAAGATTTTGTCACAACTTCTCTGGTGTCTGTTAACTTTCCTCACGAAGCAAACATTGCCATCCCCGTCACACACTATGAAGCAAAGAATTGGGTTGGGAGATGACCAACATTTTAAGCAGTGTCCCCACCAACGATTAGAGGCACTTCAGAGGCCGTTGTCACAGTCAGATGTGAGGCTCATTTTCCTGTTAATGTTGATAACCGGAGCGGATTGTGCAACACATGCCCAGGGCTATGAAGGATGTACTGACTAGAGCTTAATCAGTGCTTTAGCAGCTGTTTTTGTGACTATTTGATTAAAGCGGATGATGGTGTGTGTGTGTGTGTGTGTGTGTGTGTGTGTGTGTGTGTGTGTGTGTGTGTGTGTGTGTGTG